ACTTTAGTTTTTGTTAAATTCATTTTGAGTCTTACTTTATTGCTGGTTGTATTTAGTGTATTTGGTTATTATGTAAAAAAATCACAATTACCAGTCGAATCTTTGTCGTGGTTTAGTGTTTTTATTATTAGTAGTTTTATATATAACTGTCACTGTCATGTATCTTTTCATTGGACAGCCTATATCGTTTTAAGAGATGAAAATTTGCTAATTTTAAAATTACACAATTCTTGTGTACATGATAGGCAATATCTTGAAAAATATTTATGTCAAAAAAATTATTATAATTAAATCACATACAGTCTTTTTATGTTGGTTACAGCTACAGTGTTTTAAATGCATATTTAAAATTTATAGAATTGATATAGAACTCCGATGATATTATAAAGGTCGATTTTCCATAAAAATAAATATAAAATTTAAAAACGGTTATAAAATTCGACGATTTTGCCGTGCAAAATTGGATTTATTCATTGAACGAATTGGAAATAGAACATACATATTTTTATTACGCTTTCCCAGCAACTTCGAACGGAGTCCAGGGATGTGTGCTCGTATAAAATTAAATTTTTATTACTCAATTTATTACGGTGATAAATTTATTTTGTTACTTTTTCTTTTTTAGCATTACGTAGTAAAACAAACATAGATAATTTTCTTATTGGTAGCTGAGTCAATAGAAAAACATTATGAATTTGAATTTTCGACTTATAGCCAATTTTAAGACCTAAAAAATACTTTGTTGCATTTATTATTCCTATTATTGGAACACCCTGTACAGGGTGTCCCATTTTGGTTGAAATCGTACTGCATCTCCGTTATAAAAATTAATGTTTTAGAAAATAAAAACTAAAGTTATGTTTTTTTTTCAAAAAATCGCGGAGGCTCCAAGGAGAACGACAGTTTGTATTGAAATGAAATTTTGTGAGCATATGTAGGCTAATTCAGAGTACTTTTTAAAAATATAGAGAGTTCTACAGGGTGTCCCAAAACAAGTTACCTATCAAAGTTGTGCTTTTTGTAATGGAACACACTATATATTAATTGATTTTCTGATTCTGGGAGAAAAATACAGGTAAGTTTTATAAGACAAGTATATGACTAAAATGTAAGGTTTTTAACATATTTAACATTTTCTAACGAAATAAAGAACAATTTTTTAAATTAAAATAAAAGATACCTAAATTGGAATTTACCCGGTATAGTCTAATATGTAACTAAATTAACTATTGTACTTTAAATCAAATTAAAACTTGATCCAAAATGTTACACGGGGTAAGAGAAAACTAATATTGAACATTAGTCACCTTTAAAAGCATGTCACTCTTTTATTTTAAATGAAACACTCTGTATATTATTTCGATATTCAATGGAGATTTTATGTCTCTTCTAAGGTTGCCTACCCCTAAAACAAAGATTTTTCTAGATATTTTCATTTGCATGATTTGATCTGAGTAGATCTTTATTATTTGATAAAATCTAGGGTGGCTGTGATATGTCTGACGTTACTTCAACATAGCTGTCTAATTAGTCCAACTTTAACAACTAGTTATCATTTTGTGTTAGTTAAAACAAAAAAAGGGTGCCCGGTGGCGTAGAGGTACAGGCTCTCGTCTACCAATCTCAAGGTGTGGGTTCGATTCCCACACCCGGCATTTCATCAGTCGACTATTTTAATTAAAATAAAAATAGTTTTGGTACCTAGATTGACTCAGCCTTAAATAAGTACTTGGGATTCACAATTCTGAGGTAATAATAGGCGGTTGAAGCGTAGTACTAGCCACATTACCTTCCTTGTATACCGAACGGCTCTAGCATATAGCAAGCTGTACCTTGCTACTCCCAAGGCGTTAAACGCTATATACGGGAGCTATTATTATTATTATAAAACAAAAAAAAAAATCCTACATCAGAGAGAACTGATATGATTCTATTAGTTGGTGAATGTAGTATGCAAGGCAGATATGAAAGAAAACATAACATTAGTTCATATCTCCAAAAAATATTTTTTTATTAGAATAACAGGCTACACCACTGTATTCTGCGTAAAAAGTTCAACAATAAACAGTTTTCATCTTCTCGATACCTTTCACTATAACAGAGATACGGGGGTGTCCATAAATGCAAAATTTTCAAAAAGATCCTGTAGCTCAGAAACGAAGAGGGCTATGACATTTCTGTTTATAGGATCTTCCGTTTGACAAAAAAACTACACTCTAACTTCACTAACAACGAAGATACCGTATGACTTCAACTAAAATGGGACACCCTGTACAATTGAAACACCCTTTTCTATAGGAGATAGACGAAAACTAATATCGGTGTCTGGAGCTCAATTTTCATCAAAAACATGATGGTGAAAACCGCACATCAATATCTTTTACTGTTTCGGAGTTACGGGGTGTTTTTCAAAAATGGGCGTTTTTAACAAATCGCTGTAACTTTTTTGCTATGGAAAATTTTGTATTTTTGTGAAAACATTTCCAAAGCACCTTTTTACGTAGAGTTTAATGGTTTAAGTATAATTTTTTTAATATTAATAATTTAAGAGTTATCAACAGAAAAATTGATTTTTTATTTGGGACACCTTCTATATTTTTAATTAACTGTAAAGAATTTAAAATTACCTTTCCAAAAATATAGCACACTTGATATTTTGTTATAATCTCCTTCACAATACAGAATTTTTAAAATTTCGCCACTTTTAACTAGTAGGCTTTGGACCCCTTATTGATGATATGCCCTTAATGGAACTCGAAAACATATTTTTCCAACAAGACGACTCTGAACGCTGAAGTTATCAGCAAATTTTTGCAGCCAATTTCAAGAATAATTGAATAACTAACCAACATCCCAAACCTTGGCCGTCGAGGCCGCCTGACTTAGTGCCCATGGATCTAATCCTATGGATATATTTGCGGAAGAATAAAAGTTTCTTACTCCGTATAATCTAGACAAGAATTAGAAACACTTAGCAGTTATGCGAGGGTACCTTTCACCCCTACTGAGTTAATGAATTCCGCGAGAAATATTCAAAAACTGCCCCATCCGTCCGTAACAGTAGACGATCGATATGTCGAACACCTATAGCAAAATCTCATGTCTTGGTTTGCTATTTATTTTTATTGTTATTAGATATAGTTTAAATGTGTTGATGTTGGTTAAATATATTTTAAATTGTTATAAAATTCTGCATCTCTCACAACAAATATTATTTTCGTTTTAATTGATGCTCACAGCTTGAATTTTTTGCATTATAGCCGGTGCCGTTCAACGCTTACTCATTTAAAGCGGGCAAATTTTTATATACTCTATATCTCGAAGAGGAATCGAGCAAAATATCAAGTGTGTTATATTTTTGGAAAGGTAATTTTAAATTCTTTTCAATAAACTAAAAATATACAGGGTGTCTCATATATTATAACTCAAATTTTCTGTTGATAATTCTTAAATTATTAATTTTAAAAAAAATATACTTAAACCATTAAATTCTACGTAAAAAGGTACTTTGGAAATGTTTTCATAAAAATACAAAATTTTCCATAGCAAAAAAGTTACAACGATTTATTAAAAATGCATATTTTTGAAAAACACGCCGTAACTCCGAAACGGTAACAGATATCGATATGCGGTTTTCACCATCATGTTTTTGACAAAAATTGAGCTCCAGACACCGATATTAGTTTTTGTCTATCTCCTATAGAAAAGGGTTTTTCCATTTAAAAGCGTCGAATTTGACCCACCCTGTACATTAGCCAGAATACAAGCTCTAAATAAATTTATAGGTAGCCTTTTTTAATTAATAAAAATTACGTTTATTACGTAGTAAGTAATAAATGTGGCAAAACTCAAATTCGTGATATTTACCTATCCTTGATAGAGGCATAGGGAGGGCATAGGGAGTGTTTTCACAGCGTTATTTTAGTTTATTTACGATCCGGTAGACGCTGTGCGTGCATGTTTCACACAAATGCGCTTTTAATCCGACATTTACTGCTCGCGATGTGCTTTTCCCTTTAAAGAATCAACATTGAAAACTACTCAGGCCGAGGTGGATTTCCACCGTGAAAACCGACGTGAAAATGTGTTTCCAAAGGGAAATTGATATGTTTTAGCGCGGGTTTAGAGGTATAAACTGAAATATCGCAGGTAGAAAAGTGTTTTTACATTATCTGTTCATACAAAATATCAAACGGAATGCTGATTTATTCTTTGGAAGGAGGGTAGATAATGTAATATTATGTTTTTGCCTTACGTTATGGTCAACTTTTCCCTATTGATTTGTTGTTAACTACCCTTAATGCCCTTAATGCATTGCATTTTCTACCCTTAATGCATTGCAAACCAAAATGCAATGCAAATGTATATACAGGGTATCAAAAAATAGTGTATCTAACTTTGTTGGGTGATTCTATTCTATATATATATATATATATATATATATATATATATATATATATATATATATATATATATATATATATATATATATATATATATATATTCCTTGATCCCACAGAGATTCCTTGATCCCACAGTACACCGGTCAATATAGATATTGCCCGCCTGCCTTGCATTATTCGATCTTTTATACCCTCATCGAGTTTTCCATCGTTAGTTATTTTCAATCCAAGATATTTATATTTGTCACAGTTTTTTATCACGCTTCCATCCTCTAAGACTATGTTCTATTGTGGCCCCCCTACAGTCATACATTCAGTTTTGGTGATATTTATCTTGCCGATTTCTTTATTACCTATATTATTAATTCATTTTAGGAACAAATAAGACTCAAACCACATAAAATAAAAAATGTTAATTTTCATATTTTAAGGACAAACAAGTACTGCAAGTATTTGCAGTTCACAAAATTTGTGACTGACACATAAAAACGAAATTAAGCTAGCCTGTCATTGGGAGAAAATAATTTAATTTCAACTTTTACAATTTTCGCACATGAAGAAAGTAAGGTAAATTACGGTATATTAATCGGTACTTACTTTTCCAACCCGACGAATGCTTCTGGATCGACGTTGGCAATCTTGTTCTCGTACAGAGTGAGAATTTCCAGCGTGTCCAGGCCCTGGAAGGCTTTGGCGTGCAGGCTGTTGATCTTGTTGTGGTTCATGTTCAGTATGAGGAGGTGGTGCAGATTCTTGAAAGCGGCCGACGGCACTTGGGTCAAGCTGTTCTGGGAGACGTCCAGTTGAGTCAACATTTTCCCTGAAACAATCAAAAATTAGCTTTATTAATTATGAATATGCAATTTTTTCTTTATAAACAACTGTGATGTTTTCGAACAAATTTTAATTTTGTTATAAGGATGAATTATGCAGTTATTAATTACAAACAGAGAGGATTACAGTTATGAATATGCCACAAGAATAAAATCAAAGATGCTACAATATTATTGGGCAAATAAGAAAACATAATATGCTTTTATTTACAACCACATACGTAATACTGACATTACTGACTTGTGTCAAATTTTCTACATTTCTTCCCTCTTCTATTTCCCTCACCCATTTCCCTCATTCATTTCCCTCACAAAAAGAAAGTACACTCATCCGAAAAACACACATTAAATAGGAAATTATTATCATTCGCCACTCGTTCACTCATAGATTCACAAAAAAAAAGCGGCGATCAAAATCGTCATTTTTGAGTTCTTGTACCAACTGAATTTTGTACGGGTGGAACTTGTATTTTCTTAATATCCTTTGGACACTTGTACGATTCACGCCGGTCTCATTGGCTAATTTTCTTTTACTCAGCGTACTGTCCATGGCAACTTGGCCCAATACGAATACATCCATAGCTTCATTTTCTACAGAATTTCTCATGATTTCTCATGACTACAGGATTTTCCCTCTACCTCTTTTTATTCATAACGGAACCAGTTTCGCGAAATTTTGCTACTAACTCGTGAAAAATTTAGCCATAATGGTGTTTGTCAGGATGGCGTTCATTGAATATCTGCGCAGCCCGATTGCCACATTCATTATTTTTAAAATAAAGTTAGATTATGTCCACTTTTTCTGCAAGCGAGTACACCATAATTAAAAAGTTTAACGATATTTAGAAGAACTTCAACGCACAAGTCACAGAGCAACTATCTAGCCACTACCGCACCTGATCGTTCAACCACAGATTATACAGATTATAATCTTTGTTTTTTCTTTATTGTTTTCCGTGGTTCCAATTTTCGGAATCGGGCACTAGTTAGGTGACTAGTTTGCGCACATAGCACGCCCACTTATGGCCTCTAAAATTGTGCACAGCGCCTGACCGGCACAGTTATTAGAGAGATATTTAATATCTCTCTAGTTAATAGCGTCATCCAGTATTTACGCGTACCTTATCGTGGTTACGATATGCGCGAGTCAACGCAACACCCGCTAATAACGTTACCGCCTGACGTAATTTGCGGATCAATTACACCAAGCGCCAGGGTTCGGAAAACTACATGTTACACTTTTAAAAACTACATAAATCATATTACATGTAGTTAATGTAGTTTATGTAGAGGGTGTAGTTTATGTAATCTATGTATGTAACTTTCAAATATCAAAGGTTTGAGGTGAGGTTATAATAAGTTGAAGCTTTAAAAACACACAATGTATTTAAGAAAAGAGAAGAAATATGGCTTTAAATATAATATTTACGTCATATTATCTCTATTACACCTGATACAAAGGAAAATTATTCATAATATCAATACATAGTTTATTAACGTAGTTTTCATGTAGTTAATGAACGGGAAAAGACGTAGTTTTTGAAGAAAAACTACACGTAGTTAATCAGGTAAATTACGTCTTAATTAACTACTTCCGAACCCTGCCAAGCGCTCCTTCTAAATAACCTCTGATAACGTTTAAAAATTGCTTAAATGGGCATGTGCGGGTATTTGACAACCGGAGCGGGCCGGCGAGATCTTTTATTTTAGGTTATGTTTGAATTGTTTTGAATTATTGCTTTAGTTTTATTAGGTAATTTGATATTTAAGTAGCTGGGATTAGTTTTAATTAAATAAATATGGCCCAAAATATGGATTCCACCTCTTCCAATACTAAAGAACCTATAAAGAGTCTTAGGTTTACAGCAGATGACGACTTAGCCCTTCTAAGAGAATTTGTTGCTTGTTGTCCTAAACCTATTGGCAGACGTTGAACAATAAAGCACTGGAAATAAGCACTTTAGCCCTTTAGTTTTAAAATACCTATTAAACAAAACAATTTCAAAGTTTTAAATTCAAAGTTAGGTTAAGTTTAAATAGCGGACGCGACGCGATCAGAATTCTTTCCGATCCGATAACTATAAATGAAGAGAGTTAATTCCACCTCACTTAAAGGAAATAACACCTGGCCTTATTAACGTCCATGCACGCTATTCGGTTTAGCGATATCTCTCTATTACGCTGCTCATTGTTATTTTACGCGAGTTTATTTTTGCGCACAGGAAATTTGACTCGTTTGCACATCGTCATAAAAAACAATTTTCGTACCACGAATTAGGGACAAGATTTTTATCTGTATACTTATAGGATACCTAATCTGTGGTTCAACCTTGTGGCAAGTGAAAAAATGCGTAAACTTCTAGAAATAATAAGAAAAAACAGCAAATTGATCCAAGGAATTTATCCTTATCATTTACTCTGATAAATGTTTGAATAAACTCTTTTCAAATTTCAATCCTTCATATTTTCTCAATGACTCGACCGATTTTCAAAAACGAAGCGGGAAAGTATAGAGAATAGAAAGCCACTTGACCACTTGACCTTCACATTTGAAAAAAATTGGGGGATGACACCCCCGCTTAGAGGGTTGAAGATTTTGCAAACCATTTTGGGACAAAAGTTGTCCCCCTCACAAACAAAATTGACATGTTTTTGAATTTGCTGAAAAAAAATTACCCTGACCGTTATGCCTTGCGGAACGTTTTCGATGGGCCACCCTGTAGTATATAAACCTCGGACGAAAGTTTTCATTATTGTCTCGAGATTTAGTTAATCTCTCGACAGTAATGAAACATTACCCTCCTCGGTATATAATACAGTATTATTATAATACAGAAAAGTAGTTACTTTGTAATTCATTTTGTTACATTTTTGTTAATTTTCAGGAAAAAAGGTTCACAATGAGCTCCGTTTGAAACAAGTTAAACGAAAATCGATTTTGCACGGGTGTCTAAATTCATCTCGACTAACGGCCGTTGTTTGGAAAAACAGACACGTATGTCCATTGACGATCGGATTATTAAGCTGGACAAACACTCCAATGAAATAACTCTGATTGAGATTATTATTGCTCCAAACGAGCTGGGATTGCTACAAACCTGTAAATTAGTATTTCCTTTAATACTAAAATATTTATTTCTTAATGAATTAATATAAGTTTATTTCGTCTTGATGGTTACGCCAACCATAAACAGAGCCATAATTCCCTTGGGACACTATTAACGAGAACCGGCTCTGTCGCTATATTTTGGAATTAGCATAATTGAATAAAGCAATTAATTCTATTTTCTGCTATCTCACTTTCGAAAAATTTGAAGTCGTTCTTAAGAAAATAAATAAAAACAAAAAAGCCCAGGATAAAAATCCGCACGTTATTTTTAATACGTCACACCTGGCATGTTGAAAAGCGGCAACACGGCCGGGCCACCATGCTGACCCACCACCACCTCCACAAAAGGCCATTCAACCTTTTCCAATATGGTGGAGATAGAAGTGCCTTATTTGGCGCGTATTTTGAAAACCTGTTTTATTTCCAAATAGACATTTTTCACACAAATGTCGGGTTAGATTACACTAATTTTATATTTTTTTATACGTAATATATCACTAATTTTTTAATACACAGGGAGTCTAAAGCTCTCCACATAAGTATGGAATTTTTTGTATTATTACTTTTATGAAAACATCAGTTAGTTACTTTTTATAAAAAGGTCTGTTTTCTCAGAAAATAGATAGGTAGTGTACTAGTGTGTAAATATTCAAACTTGAGGTAGCATATATAGGGTGTTCAAAATCATCGGAAAAAGAAATAACCAGAAATGTATGACAGAAAATAGTAATATAAACTAAATATTCAATTGCAAACACTAACCTACCATAGTTTAGAATTTACTGCACGTTTGATAAATATATACTATTATGGACAGTATAGGAAGTTACTTGTCTTAGTAAAAGCCTTGGTAAATGCTCTGGGAATTATAAACTACACTGGCTTGGGTCAAAAAATATGGAATATTTTTCCAATGTTTAGCAGCATTACACAAATAGGAATAAATTTAAACTATAATAGGTGAGGATAACTAAAAAATATAATATGTGTTTCAAGATTTTATATAGAAAAAAAAACTAAAAACCTTTTTATAGCGTCATTCCTTTTTTTGCATAGTTCTTCAATAAAATATTGGATATTCTGAACAAGATGGATTTAATAATAAATTCTGACGTATGTGAGGGGCAATTGTGACTTAAAAAAAGACTTACATCCAAGCAGGCCATTTATATTTTCAAATGTGAATGTTGTCAATATCCTTCTGTGATCTTTTTGATGTAAAAAGCTTCATTATTCTTCCAATATTTTACTTATAGTGAGGTAAGTGTAAGCAGTAGCCATAACTACATCCTCACTAGGGTAACAGAGGCTTTGGCCTTTGGCCTTTTTGAGGCATATTTAATGCACTTCTTACCCGAGAACTACTAGTAGGAGTGAAATTATCTCTTTTAATAGCTGTCAACCATTTTTTACGAAGCTCGTCATTTATGGGGAATATAAAAGCAGAAACCTTGGGACCCCCTCTATAATTCTCGTGGCAATTTGGAACAGAGCATGTAAAAGGTATTTACATAACTAACGTTACATACCGCGTGGTGCATCGGAATGCGGCGTTAAAGTTGTACCTTCATCTAGAATTTCGTTTTATTTGGAATAGGCATCTAAAAGTTATTTGCAAAAATTTCCCTTCAAATTACTAAAAAATTATAATACGGCCTAGAGAAAGATACAATTCAACTCTGAATATATATATTTTTACATATTTATTAAGGAAGGTAAAAATGTCATAATATATATAGTGTTCCATTTAAAAAAAATCATCCTGATCCACTCACACATTTTCGAGTCACTCTGTAGAAGCTAAAATACTTTCCTAAAATACATCCTAGTACATACTTTTGGTTTGCACTTGCACAAAATTCCCAAGTTTTTTATTGTAGGAGCTACAGATGTCTGAAGCACTATTGCCGGAACCTGTATAATCCATCAACAATTTCTTTATACCATTAATTTATGAAAAAAATGATGTAAATATACATGACACTAACAAATTCTGTTCAATTTTAAATACTCGAACCAGCAGACCTTTACAAAATTATAAAATTGTCCTCCAATGATGCATCGTTTATTATTATCAATTAACATTATCGTTCGGGTCGAGGTAAATTAATTTCTGACAAGATAAAATGACGGGACGAAGTGATTAATGTGGGAACATCCCGAACCCGCAATCTGGATACCGTTAACAAACAACAACAATTAATTAGTTCAAATTGATGCGTTTGGGATCATATCGCTTGGATACAACCTCCAGGCGGAAATTCAATTGATTTTTTTGAGGTTTTCGTCCAACAAAATTGATAAAAACTAATAATATTTAAGAGAAGTTGAATATTTTAAATTAAAAGTGTTCTTTTTGCTGCCAGTGCTAATCTGTATTTACTTCTTCCTCTTCTCAGCGAAGATTGGCGATAACCACAGTGAATTCTTCTCGACTTTCTGTTATTCTAAGGAATGTTTGAACATTCATATCTGTATCCCTTATGTTTCTCATCCACGACATTTGACTTCTGTCTGGACCTCGTTTCCCTTCAATTTTACCTTACGAATAAGGTGTAATAGATTGTATTTGTTGTTCCTTAGAACATGACCAAAGTATGCCGATTCTTTCTTTATTATATTTAAATCCCGAATAACTTATGAAAAGGAATACAAACATTTTCAAAAATGGAAGCAATTAAAAAACGTGCGAGAAGAAATAAAGTTTTTAACCTATCCTCGCTGTTAACGTATCATTTAATCTACCCTTGAGGTTAAAGTACTATTTTATCTACTATTCTTGATAGATATAAGGCAATTTTAATAATTGCTATGGAAAAAATGATTTGTTTATTGTCACTTTCATTTGTCCTCAAACATTTTGCGAATTCAACAGATACGAAAACCGAACGAACGACATCCTAAACGACCGGAATATTTTACTACCCCAGTTCTTACAGGCGTGTGTATGTGTTCTGGAATAGTTCCAGCACGGCCTTGGCTCGGAAACGGGGTAACATTTCGAGGGCGAGAATGGCGTCCTCAGTCAGGGTTTCACGTGGTAATCGTGAAACGAGTTCGATTAACGGCACGTCGGAGCCGAAGCTCATTTCCGACATTTTGCCGCAAATTGAATGGAAGTTTCCGCGAGCTGCACGAGCCATGGAACCGGTTGCTTCGATCTTTACCAGGCTAATTTTTGATTTTCTAATTTTGACAAAGAGACATATGAGGGGTTCAGAAGAGAACTGGATCAAGTTCTAGAAGATAATTGTCGAGAAAATGAGAGTTAAGGTTTTTTTAATGTTACTTAATTAAAATTAAACAAGCTGAAGAAGAAAATGGATGACTTGACAAAATGCTTTATTATACGTTTGCTTTATCGTAAATTTTTCCCACCTCTAACTCCGGATACGAAAAATTAAGTTAAGCACAGTAAATACAGTATGACTAGACCTACCTATCGAGCTAAGCGAAGCTTCCTCTACCACCGACAGGCTACTGTTGTGGATGGTGAGATGGTGAATGTCCAAGCCGAGGAACACGAAGCCGGTGAGCTTGCGCAGATTGTTGTGGCGCAGCTTCAGGTAGAAGATGACGAGCGACTTGCCCTTGAGCACGCTCATCGCGTCGTTGATGTGCTGCTGATCGGTGAACTCGCACAGGATGTCCAGCCCGTTCTTCTTCACTTGGCAGCTGCATGGCGATATCTCCGAGCGGGGCGGGCACTGTTGTTGCACCTGCAAGGAAAAAAGAAGAAAATGTAAGGTTTGAAGTAGTGATGTGTCCGTATTTGAGTAACACGATTTTGGCAAGATGGCGGCGCCGGCGGCAAGTCTGGCAATGTGCATTTTATGGATTTTAGTTCGGGACCCCAAAACCTATAAACCTGCAAAGTTGCAAAACTTCCGGACTTTTTTCCAAGCAAAAATCCCCAATGACAGAACTAATTAGAGCTTTGCGTGGGGACGCGGGGCTCTTGGATCAAAATCGGGACAGGTGGCAACCCTGGCTACAGCCGAAATAAAATTGAAGGGGTCAAAATTCCCCTCCTCGATATTCTCCACTTTAATCGCTCCATTTAAACGAAACCCAATTTTCCTTTAACTAATTTCCTCCCCCTAGGTCCCCCAGTGTCTCCTCCAAAACGTCATCCTTGTTCCAACAGAAATAAACTCGAACAAAACTGGAAATTGTTCGAATTAAGCCTGGACCGGGGTGATTCAAACGAACCGTGAACGGAAAGTTGAAATGAAGTTTGCAGCATCGTAACCGACTTCTGGCCAGTTTGTTTAAACCTACTTTTCTTGTAACTCTTCTTTTTTGGACCGGAGAGGTCGTTTGTCAATTTAGAACGAAATACGACAGAGTTGAAGTTTGAATTGGATGGTTTTGCAAGTGCCATATAAAGAATAATTGAGAATAACTTTATGTTTTGTTTGTTTATATAAAGTTTTTGACGTTGGTAAAACTTGAAAAAAGGATTAGAGTAAGTCTTGTGATTTATGTATATTTTTCTTGTACATTTTGAGTCAAAATAAATCAATCTACAGGGCGTTTCAAAAAACATGTGCCATCTCTCGTGGGAGATTCCTCACGTAAAAATAAGATTTATTTTTCATATCAACATAGGTCCAAAATTCAGTTTGTTTCGTAGCTACGGGGTGTTCAAATCTTAATATTTTTTCGATTTATTATAATTTTCTTCCAAGTACTTTTAGCGTTTCGAATGATATACCAGGGACGTGCATATGGGTTTTCACTGGAATATTTTTCTAAAAAAAGCATGTACGCCACTGACTTTTTTTCTCTTGTTAGCGAAATAGTGTAAGCAGTTTAATGCCGATGAAAAGTTGTCTCTTGATATTTTGTCATTTCGGCCTCCTTAATGAGATAAACGCAATTTTATTATTATACTGGGTGTTCCATTTAAAATAACAAAGATTCGACAATTTAGTATGAAATGGCAATACTGGCCCTAAGGAAACTCAACAATTTTTAAGTTAAGAAATATATTTTTTAGGCGTCTCGGTTTTTTTGAAATGCTGACCACTCAAAATCAGCCTTTTCAACTTTTTTCATGATTGTAAACCCAACGACCTGTGTAATGCTTCTGGAAAAAATTAGGCACAAAGAAAATTACGTTAATTAAAAAGTTTTTAAATTAAATTCCCAAATTATCACGAATTCTCCTCGTCCATTGTTACTGGAGACATGGTTAAAAAATAAAAAGGGGAACAAGTTTTAAAACGAGTGGTTTCAGCTGGAGGCACTTCAACACGACTAAGTAAATCTTTGAAGTTATGGTTTTACTAAAAAGAAAACTTGAAAACCTGCGAAAAATGAAAGTTAGTTAAAGTTACATCTGGTTATATATATATTATAGTTTTTTTAACTAAAATATTTTGAGCAAAATATACAGGGTGGTCCGAACTGTATTCCGGAAACTTCGGCAGCATATTCTGCAGATAAAAATAAGTAAAAAGTTCGTATAAATGTATGTCCTAAAATGCTTGGAGATACAGGGTGTAGAAGTTTAATTTTTATTTCGATTTTTTCAAAATAATTTATGAAGTAACGTCAATATTTCGATGAAAATTGTTGTCTGGGAGTTTTTTGACATGGGAAATTCGATTTTCATGTCAATATGACTCCTGCTTGTAGAGGGCGCCAACTACATATTTTTTAACTGATTTGAAGAGTAATAACTTTTCGTCCATACCTGTATAAAACTACTGAGTAAAAAAATATACATTCAAGACTTTTTTTGCATAAAAAAGGCCTCTTGGTAAAAATCGCTAAGAGTAATGGTTACCTGTCATCACTGACATAATTAAACATGTTGACTAAATAGTTATTAAACTGAAATCATAAATTTGAAATCTTTTTGTGCCAAAAATTCAACAGCAGAAAAAAATATGATTAATTTAAAAAAATAAAATTTATTATTTCAGTCAAATTGCTATATTCTCAACGTGTGCTTATTAGGTATGGTAGGCTATTAGGATCGGCAAAAAAAAAGATTTTTAATTTCACTCAAAATGAGTTATTTGGGTCATAAAGGACCTAAATACAAAATATTTTCGTGGTGTCTGTCTGTCTGTCTGTCTGCCGTCTGTAACACGATAACTCAAAAACCGCTGAACCCATTTTAACCAAATTTGGCACAAAAATACTGTGACACCCGAGAATCTGGCCATTAGTTTTTGGTGGGGGTGGGGGGTTGGTAAGGGGGTATGGGAGGGGGTTAAAAATTTTAAAAAATCGTAACTCCATAATTACAGTAGCTAGCAAAACGCGTTTTTTTTAAATGAAAGGTATATATGTCTAGCTTTCTTATGAAGTATTTTTAAATTGTTGAATGGCTATTTCTTTGTATAAATCGACTAAACATTAAAACATACCTGAAAAACACCTACACACAATACCTCCAGAAATAAGTTATTTGTCATTGTCAGTGGTTTGTCAGTTAGATTATATATCAAGTTTTTAGATAATTTAGGGATCAGTTCATACAGCCAGCTTTAGATACATAAATATTAGAACAAAGGTTCGTTTAAACGACATTAGTGAATTAGCTACACAAAGCGATTTTAGGAAATTCATCCTCTTAGAGAGTAAAATTATGTCGGAACAATTTGTTGTATGAAAATTCCTTACTATGTGGTCTAGAAGAATGAAATCCTACAAAAAGAATTAGAAGAGATTTTCGAAATTCATCAACCAAATGGGTAAAGTTAATAAAAATTTATGTAAAACTTGGTGACCTCTGAATTATACACATAAAAATTGGCACAAAGGATCATTTAAAAGACATGAGTTAATTATTTGGATAAAGCGATTTTATGAAATTTATAATCTTAGGGAGTAGAATAGGGAATGAAAGTTTGCTGTACGAAAATGCATTACTATAACATCTAGCAGTATAAAATTTTATACAAGGGTTTATTTAGTGACACATCAATAATATAAACTTCTATATTTCTTCTTCAATTATCCTTCAAGGAATAAAAAATAACTATAAATGGAGTATTAGTGCTCTTAATAAACCAAAAAAGAGATGAAAAATAAAAAAAATATCAAGGGAGTATATTAAGTAAAGAGCGACAATTGAAAATTTCAAATATTCATTTGAAAACTTCATATTTCAAAACTATTTATTTTATTAATACAGTTTATATGGGACCAGGGTTCTATCTATAGAGGGTAAATAATCATTTCACTATTTATTATTTTGGAGAGATATTATTTTTTCAGATTTTGCAAAATTTCTTTGAAATTGACTTTGGTTCGATTTCGAAAATAATCTATATATAAATAAGAAATAAAAAACCGCCCTGGAAGATCGCCATCCACCCTCTATCCAACCATACATAATTAGTTTCAGTCAATGGAAGTAGTTAGAAAAAATTGAAAAAAAGTGTTAAAAAAGCAAGATTTCAAAAACATTTTGTGGCCAAAATTGACTTCTTTGAAATACTTTGATTTCGATAACTTCTGGAATTATTAAGATTTTTATTTCAGACGACTCTAATCAAAAGTTTTATTTTTGGTATACAAAGTGTGTCATAAAGTCATATACAGGCGATGAAAAAATAAAAAACGGTTTTTAAATTTTCGAATTTTCCTAAGTACATAATAATATTTAAAAGAGATAAAAATGCTCTTGAAATTGGAATATTGACGGCTTTTTATAAATTTTAAGTAAAAAATATGTAATAAGTCAAAAATAACAATATCGATATTTTGTCAAGCGAGTCTTAAATAAGTGCAATTATTCTTAGCGGTAGTAGGTATATTTGAGCCCAGAAACACGATTATGAGTTTTTTCGCGAAATTTTTTTTGAAATTTGGAATTTTTTGAAAAACCTTTTGGATTTTTTTTAGTTTTTAGTTAAAAACCATAATTTCTTGATAATATGGCAACATAGATAGGTAGTAGATTAAATTTACAAGACAGAAAAACCCGAAAAGCTGCAGTGGTTCTCAAAATTTAAGCAAAAAATATTTTTTTTTGGAAATTTTTTAAGTAAAACAACTCAGTTATTTTGGAGTTATTTGAAAAACGGTAAAGAGAAAATATGGTTTTTTATCGAGATCTACCAGCCCTGAAAATATTTGCACTTATTCAAGACTTGCTCTGTATAATACCCAGAAAATCGACAATTGATAACTTTCATATGAAATACGAGTAGCTCTAAAACTCTTAAAAATATAGTTTAAATAGGGCATTTGTAAGGCTCACTAGCTCTGTATACAAAGTAATGCATTAACTATTCGAGGTGTAACGCGAACGTAGTCGCGGGGAAAACCTAGTTTATAATAACATCAAAATCAGTCAAAGTCGCAGTTTTCGAGATATTAACATATTTTAGTATGGGCGGCTATACGTGCCTCCCGGCGCCAATTTTTTTTTGTCAATAATGACATGTATTGACAACTTCCATTCTAAATATCTTGAGAACGGTTGCTCATAGCGATTTTTACCAAGAGACATTTTTTACGTAAAAAATCATGGAAATGTATATTTTTTCAGTCGGTAGTTTATACCGGTACGGACAAAAAGTTATTACTCTTCAAAACAGTTAAAACACATGTAGGTGGTGCCCCCTACAAATAGGAGTCATTTTGACATCAAAATCAAATTTCTCATGTCACAAAACTCCCAGACTCCAATTTTCATCGAAATATTGACGTTACTTCAGAAATTATTTGGAAAAAATCGAAATAAAAATGAAAC